GAGGAATGTACACTTGGCAACCCTATTGCTTCCCCACAAATTATCCTAGAGACTAGAGATGCTAAGAATTCTACTCGATATCCCTAGCCACGGAGAAGAACTAGAATCCACAGAGTTCCCTCAGAAAGGAGACTCAATGGCTCTGGTCACACACACTAAACAATCCACTTTCCAACTGGATTTTGCCCGTTCACACAGTAAAAATCCAGTTTGAGAGTGGATTGAAAGTGGGTTATTTAGCATGTGTGACCGCAGCCATAATTAACCTTTTAAAGCAGGGCCCCCCAACTTTTCCGAGCCTGTGGGCACCTTTGGAATTCTCTGACACAGCATGGTGGGTGCAGCCACAAAATGGCTGCCGCAGGAGACAGAACCTGCCACAAAATGGTTGCCCACCTTCAGCCATACAGTAAAGATTCTTGTGCTCTGGTGGCTGCTGCTGCTGCCAAAGTAAAGTTTTTAAAAATCTGCAGAGCCAAGTAAATCTCTAATTGCTAATCAGAAGCCTTGCTGGGCAAAAGCCCCACCTAGGGTTGCCAGCCTCCAGGTGGGGCCTGGAGATCCCCCGCTTTTGCAACTGATCTCCAGCTGACACAGATCCGCTCCCCTGGAGAAAATGGCTGCTTTGGAGGGTGGGAGTCAGACTCCCATCACATCAACACACTTGCAGAAGAGAGGTTTCTTTATTTGAAGCAATAGGTGCATAACAGGATCACTGTTCAGAATGAGGAACAAGCATGGATCCCTAGAGATTATAAGAAATTCAAAAAGCTGAGGCCCAATTGCAGGACTTCCCACGTGCGCCATTGAGCCTGGGAAGCAACGCTCCTACTTACTCATAACATGCAGCTTCTCATGGATAATGCCATGAGATCACCCAAACTACTATACTCCAGCAACCACCTGCGGCCTTGAGAGATACGGACGTTCCTGCTACTAGGCAATTAAGCGTATAAACAGGCATACATGGGAAAGTGAAAGCAAACAAGCGCATACCCAAAGACAAGGGTACATAAGAATACATACAGAGCATAGTGAAACATCAGAGCATACACAGAGTACAGGGAAACACATTGGCAGCTTGCTGACAGTGGGGTCTATGGGATTGTGCCATGCTGAGGCCCCTCCCCTCCCCAAACCCCTCCCTCTTCTGGCTCCACCCCCAAAGTCTCCAGGTATTTTCCAACCCAGACCTGACAACCCTGGCCTCACCAGGCCCCACTCACTTGCTAAAAACGCTTGGAGGGCACCAGGAAAGGGGTTGTTGGTTGCCATGGTACCCGTGGGCGCCACATTGGAGACCCCTGTTCGAATAGTAATAATATGCCCTTCATGAGTCGAGAGGGGTGTGCGTTGTATTAAGATCCCAATACGTTGCCACCAAGATGTTAAGACAAGAGTTGGTTTTTTAAATAAAAAACCCCAGCAAAACAGTAAAGCGTTTATTTTAAGATTAATTATGACAGACAGATGGACAGACAGATAGATGGATAGTGTGGTTGCTTAACTGGACATTTGTGAGGTGGGTACGTTTTTTGTTCATCTCATAATTACTTTCATAAAGGGAGATGGAAATTATTTTGCTCAGTCCCATAATTAAATTAAAACATCCCGTTTCCCTTAAATAGCTTCCACTGCAAGTGAACACTAAAACCCCCAGTTCTCTTCACTCTGAAGTCCTCTTTCTGGTTATCAGGCTGGTATCAGGATACTGATAGATCCTGCCAACCTAGCAGTTTGACAGCAAGAAAGTGCAAGTAGATAAATAGGTACCACTTCGGAGGGAAGGTAACAGCGTTCCGTGCGCCTTGGTGTTGAGTCATGCCGGCCACATGACCACGGAAACGTCTTCGGACACCGCTGGCTCTTCGGCTTGGAAACGGAGATGAGCACCGCAACCCTAGAGTCGGACTCGACTGGCTTTCGAGCAAGGGAACCTTTACCTTTTTATCAGGATACTGAAGCAAGTGCCACTACTTCTGGAGCTAGCAATTGAGTCAGGCCTGCTCTCTGAAGACAATATAACGAGGATGCTTTGGAAGACTCCACTATTTCCTCAGCTGACCCTCTTCAGGATCCTCTCCCCCCGGCCTCATCTTCCTCTCAGGCCTACTACCAGGCCACAGACTTCTTTCTTCAGACGGCCCTGGGTTTGTCACACACAACTAGTTAATGACCTCTAACCAGGCTGTATCTGGCCTTTTATTCTCTCTAGGAAGACCCTGTCAGCCAATTAATGTTCAACATGCCTCAAGCCACCAGCTCATTGGATCTTAGTTACAGGCGAATGACAGTTGATAGGCCCTGGAATATAATTGCATGGGTTCTACTCCAGTTTGGTGTAGTGGTCAGGAGCGCGGAATCTAATCTGGGAGAACCGGGTTTGATTTCCCCACGCCTCCACATGCAGCTGCTGGTGTGACCTTGGGTCAGTCACAAGTTCTTTCAGAGCTGTTCTCTCAAAGGCAGTTCTCGGGAGAGCTCTCCCAGCCCCACCTGCCTCACAGGGTGTCTGTTGTGGGGAGGGGAAGGGAAAGGAGATTGTAAGCCGCCCTGAGACTCCTCCGGGTAGCAAAGGGTGGGGTGTAAATCCTATCTCCGCCTCCTCTTCTTTTTCTTCAGGCAGAGACCAACGCCCGCAGATTTATATCAGAGGATGCAAATTGACATGATCTTGCCAACAGAGAAAACCAATGAATAAACAGGGGGCTCACCTGCTTTAGGGCAGGCCTGGAAGAAAAAGAAACAGGACGCCACATGGGAGCCAGTGTACCACAAAAGGTCTGCAAGATAACCCTTCCCTTTCACGCAAGCCTGTCCTTTCCCACGGATAGCCTCTCCTCCTTCTCTGAAGTAGCCACTTGCTAGCCACAGTGGGCCACCCAAGGGAGATACAAAGCCTCGTACAGACTTAGGGTTGTCATTCCCCAGTTGGGAGCAGGGGATCCCCTGGGGTTTTTGGCTTCTACTCGCTGCCGGCCAGCTGGTCAGTGGGAGGAAACGCTGCCCCCAAACAGCCACATTGCCAGAAATAAACACGCCACACTGACATAATGTGGAGAGCTTTGAATGAACACTCACTGTTCGAGAGGCTCCTTGCAGTTACATTCAGATTGGTTGCCCTAGCCAGGCCGGCCAATCAGGTAATAGAAGCATAATTTATTTATTTATTTATTTATTGGGTTTCTATCCCGCCCTCCCCACGAATGGACTCAGGGCGGCTTACATTTAAAGGCACCATGTGCCAAAATACATAAAACATAAAACCAGATAAAAACCAAGATAAAACAGTCATATTCTTACAATTAAAGTGCTTAGCATAGAATTGATCTTCCAGTCACATTAAAGATGGCTTCCTGTAGATGGTCACAAGTCCCAATTCAGCTGCATCTGTCTCGTGCGTTACTGTGGCTCGGTGTCCATATAGGGCCAACCAGCTACCCCAATGGTAGTGGTGGGTGGCTCCTAATTAAAAGCCTGGTGGAAGAGCTCCGTCTTGCAGGCCCTGCGGAACTGTACAAGATCCCACAGGGCCCTGATCTCCTCCGGGAGCTCATTCCACCAGAGAGGAGCCGCCACCAAAAAGGCCCTGGCCCTGGTAGCGGTGAGCCATGCCATGCCATGCAAATGAAGGTTCTAAGCAGCATGTTTTTAAAAAAGTATCTAGCCCTTTTAGTTGTGTAGATATAACAGGAAGCCTTTATCTATCTATTAGTTGCTATAGATTTTCCGGGTTGTGTGGCCGTGGTCTTGGCATTGTAGAACCTGACGTTTCGCCAATAGCTGTGACTGGCATCCTCAGAGGTATAACACAGAAAGATGGAGTACTCTCTGTGTCTTTATCTACTTTCTTTATAGTCCACCTTTCTCACCGAGAGTCCAGACAGATTACATAGTGTGCATCAGGGGTCATTTCGCAGAAAAAGAGGTGCAGGAGGTGATTAGCATAACTTATTCTCATACCTTATTTGCATATGCCACACCCCCTGACATCACCGGAAGTGTGTCAGAAGGCAACACCCACTGCTCAGGCTCCACTGGGCTGTTTTGGATTGCTAGCTAATGGGGGGGTGGGGAACGCGCAGATCTGCCCTCACAGAGGAGGGAGAGCTTGTACCTGAAGGCAGGCTGGGGGGGGGGGCACTGCAACTTACCTGGCTGCTTCTTGCTCCTCGTGTCCCGACTGAGGGCTGCAGGGGGCAGGGCTTGTTGCCTGTGCCAACCCCCTGGGCTCCTTACTGCCAGAACTCTGCTCCTGTGCGCTTCCACAGGAAATGACCCCTGGTGTGCATCAATGCAATGGATGAGACATCTAACAAGCAATGCAATAGGACTAGGGCTACAGCCACGGACCATTTCTAGGGTTGCCAACTCCAGCTTGGGGAAATCCTGGACATTTGGGGGAGGATCCTGGAGAGGGGGGAGGGACTTCAGTGAGGCATAATGTCACAGAGCCCACCCTCCAAAGCAGCCATTTTCTCTGGGGAAACTGATCGCTGGCCTCGGGAGATGAGTTGTAATTCTGTGAGATCACCGGGCTGCACGTGGAGGCTGGCAACCTTCATAAGAACATAAGAGAAGCCAATGTTGGATCAGGCCAAAGGCCCATCCAGTCCAACACTCTGTGTCACACAGTGGCAAGAAATACCAGGTGCCATCAGGAGGTCCACCAGTGGGGCCAGGGCATTAGAAGCCCTCCCACTGTTGACCCCCCCCTTCAATGGGCCTTCTGCTTGATGGTACTGGCTGAGGCCCAGAGCTCATCCCTGAAACATTTCCGCTGCAAAAGAGATGCCCTTTAGGAAAACCCGCTGGTTAAAAATAAGCCCTCCCCCCCACCCCGTGGGGGGGCAGAGTGGAATGGGGCACACGTGCAGGGACAGACCTTCCCCACCTGGAGGGAATAGGAGGCGCCGATTCCTCTGGAGCGATACTCAATTCTGGAAGGAGGCCGTGGGCCCATTCTCTCCCCTTCCCCCGTGCCTCATTCCATTTGCATTATGACACCACATCCCGACCACTTCTTACTCGCCTCGGAGCTTGAAGGGCAGCCAGGGTGGGAACAGTTGCCGGGACTGGGAGTGGCTGTTGTGTGCTCAGCCTCGGGCCAGAGCCAGGGGCCGGCTGGAGCGGGAAGGCGCCTGCAGCAGCAGCAGCATCTGCCGTGGGAAGGAGCCGCTCGCCTGGGCGACAGTGAGTGCCAAGGGGGGTCCCCGTCCCCGAAAGCAGGGTGGTGAGCTTGGCAGGAGCGTTTTTGCCAGGGGAGAGGGAGTGGCTAGAGGGATGCTTGGCTGGCAAGAAGGGAAAGCTGTGGATGGGGAAAGGCCGGGTGGTGTCCAGCTGAAGGGGTTTGCTGGATTGATAGAAGGGAAGGTAAATGAAATGTTGTGCGTGGGGATGATGGGGAGCGGGGAGAACCGGGTGGCTGCGAGAGGCTGACCGAGAGCTCCTCTTTTGCTCCTCTCTCTCCTTCCCTCGGCAGGGATGACGGCCTTTGGCGTCCAGATGCTGCTGTGCCTCCTAGCACTCGCTGCCCTCCCATCCGGTGAGTGGGATTCCTCCGTCCCGCATTTTCTCTTCCTGTGATCTGCTTAGACGGAAACTCTGGTTCTGTAGGTGAAGGGAACCTTGGTGCAAAAGATCAAGAAGGTCGTGGTGGTGGTGGTGGTGGGAGCAATGTTCCCTCTAAGTTGTGGAGTCTCGTGAGCAAAAATCCTACTTTGTGATCTACTGGCACTAAAACTGAGCAAGCGATTTGGCTGCTGCATACATTAGTTTGCTCTGGAGCCCTCCTTCCTGAGCTGAGACAGAAATGTGTGAGCCAGAGGCTAAAAAACTGTGAGCTAGCTCACACTAAACTCAGCTTAGAGGGAACACTGGGGGGGGAAGATGCTAGGAGCAAAAGTGCCCCGAGGAGGGGGAGGGGCAGGATCACTGGCCCACAGGGACGGGATTCCCTCCCCCGTAGCACCTTCCAGGCTAGAAGGCCTGTCAGGTGCTGAAACAGACTGAAAAGGCGGCCATCAAACAAGGGCAGGAAAAGCCCCGGTGGAATCAAGTGGCGGGCTTTTAGTTTTCTTCCTTCTGCCCCAAGAAAGGGGTCCCTCAGCTCACGAAGATCTCCTCTGGATGCTGTCCTAGTGACATGCTGTGGGGCAGCAGCGTGGAGAAACGGTGAGGGGACAGGCTCAGAAGAGTGCCAAAGGCCACAAGGGGCCAGATAACGCGGGCGGTGGGGAGGCAAGGCTTTTCGCGCCGGCACAATTTAACGCGCCAGAATGCGATCAGATGCGGTGGCGGCAAATCAGGGTTTTGTCAGCGCATGTTTCAGGCGCGCGTCCACACGGCGAAAGGAGCACGCTTGGGCGATCACACGTAGGTATTCCGTTGATGGCCCATAGCAAACCGTTTGCTAGTAGGCTTTACCGGGTATTTTTTAACTCCGGATCTTCGGGCGGGTGGGTGTGCTGCGCTCATCAGATGTGTCCTTGTGATCACGCCTGTATACTCCACCCGACATTCGTGCCTCTCCCGCAGCAAATCCTCCATGTGACCGGGGCCAAAGACTGGATTTGCCTGCAACAAGGACAACTTCTTTTCTCACTCAAAAACCTGATGGACGAAAATGCTTTCACACTTGCTAAATAATGCAATTTCGATCCACTTCAGCGACCACTTGCGAGTGGGTCTTGCCACTTCCAGAGGTCATTTCGGGGGGGATCGCAGTTCCCCCGGGTGAGGTACGGGGGGCGGGGCACATGACGAAGCCCCGCCCCCTGCTTCCGGCCGCCCCGCTTCCGGCCCTCATTCAGCCAGGAGGAGGCAGGAGAAGAGGGAGGGTAAGTTGCTTCCTCCCTGCCTCTCCCCACCCCTGCCTGCCTGGGGCCAGGGAGGGCCTTTGCGGGGCTTCCTTGCACTCCCGCCAGCCGGGACCGTTGGGGGTGGTGTGTGTGGCCTTATGACACACTTCCGGTGATGTCAGGGGGTGTGGCATATGCTAATGAGTTATGCTAATGAGTTCCCCTAGCTCTTTTTCTACGAAACGACCCCTGGCCACTTCACACAGTAAAATCCAGTTGCAGAGTGCATAGAAAGTGTGTTCTTTGGTGTGTGTGAAAGTGCCTTGAAGACGCGTCATTGCCTGGTGAAATCTCTTCCCGGGCATCTGCTTCTGATTCTCAGATCTCAGCCCACTGACGTTTCCTGGTGTCCAGGCTACTTCAAATTCTGACAGAGAGTGTCCTGCAATCCACAGAAGGGCCTGCTTAAAATACGTCGTCACCGTCTTTAAAAACAATATTAACAGTTATGCAACTTTTTCTTTCCAGCACAAGTCTAATTAATGCAGCAAAACACATCTAGCCATGAAATACTGTTGGTGGGGAAGGAGAAATCAAGAGACCCGTGACAGGGGGCTGATTCTGCACTGGCTTTTCCCTCCGTTGTTTTACCAAACCCACCTTGGAACAGAAGTTCCCCTCTGCATTGCATGCATTGCATGCCGCTTTCACATTCTTTGATCATCAGGTTTTATGGTACCTTCTGCATAGAGTTATGGCTGTTCAGGGGTGACTTTGCAGTCAGTACGGCGTTGCCCCAGGATATCCGAATGTGGTTTTGAGCTGCACCTTTTCCCCAGTGTTGAGAAAATGTGGAGCGAGTGCCAGATGCAGAATCACCCAGGGCCCGAGAACAGCAGTTTGCACAACAGGAGAAACCGACCAGAGCAGCAAGAATGTGCCACTGAAGCTGAAGTTCCCAAGCCATTAACTCAGCATGCTGCCTGTTCCAAGGCCGGGAGCACAGAAACAGGGGCCCAATCTGCAGCCAGCATTTGCTCCGCTGTTTTACCAGACCCACACTGGAACAGAAAAAGATGCAGCTCAAAACCACATTCAGATACCCCAGGCCAACGCCGTACTGACTACAGAGTCACCCCTGAATGGCCATAAAAAAGAAGAAGAAGAAGTAGAAGAAGAGATTGGATTTAAACCCCGCCCTTCACTCAGGCCGATTTCCCACAAACGCTGCTCCACGCTCGCTCTTCCCTTTTGCCCCGATGGTACGTGTCAATTTCACACAAGCTGCTGTGCGGCC